AAACCCAAAAACCCTCACACTGCAAAGCGTATTATTGGGGGACTTAATGTTGAGCGGGGATGCGCGTTATACAGATGCTATCTATATATAATTGATGTTATTTATTATTATTATTATTATTATTATTATTATTATTATTATTATTATTATTATTATTATTATTATTATTATTAGCATGAAGCAGGCTGAAAATGGGCTGAAAGCAATTGACCAGACAAAGCTTCCAGGAAAGCACAAGATATGGTGTCTACAGTTTGCCCTCTACCCTCGATTGGCGTGGCCACTGACAATGTATGAAGTTGCTTTGTCAAGAGTTGAGATGATCGAAAGAAAGTGTAACAGCTACATCAGGAAGTGGCTGGGGCTACCCCGTACCATTAACACGTCATCCCTGTACAGACATAGAGGTGCGCTTCAACTACCTCTCACGTCAATCGTGGAGATCTACAAAGCAGGCAAGATTAGAACCGTTTTGATGTTGAGAGAATCAAGGGATAAGGAGATCAGTGGAAAACCTCCAGATGTCAAAACAGCCAGAAAGTGGAAGGCAGAAGTTGCAGCTAACGAGATCATCTCTGCATTGGAGCATGGGGACATTGTCGGTCCAGCGCAACCTGACAGATTAGGGCTAGGTAATGGCGACTTTAGACCTTTCAGGAAAATGTCTCAGCGAGACAGAAGAAAAGCTGCAACAAGACATATGCAAAAGATGGAGGCAGAGAGGCGAGAAATTCATCTCATCCAGTGTAGCCAGCAAGGACAAATGACCAGATGGGAAGAGCATGTTGTGGAAAGAAAAGTCGGGTGGAGTGACATCTGGAAGTGGAATACATCAAGGCTGAGCTTTCTTCTCCGGTCTACGTATGATGTTCTGCCTTCACCGGTGAACCTTGTCAGATGGAAGGTACAGGAGGACAACAAGTGTAGATGCGGTAAGCTAGGAACCATGAAGCATATTTTGTCAAACTGCAACCTAGCTCTTAACAGATACACCTGGAGACACAACGAGGTGTTGAAAGTGCTCACGAAAATGGCGACACAACAGGTGGAAGAAGGAAAATATGCCCCCAAGATACAGAAGCATGGACCCACCAAGATTGCGTTCGTTCCGCAAGGAAGCAAGGTTGCCAAAAGAAAGAAAACGAACGAAGCCATGAAAGACCAGAGCGGAGGCACATGGGAAGTAGCTGCTGACTTAAAAGGCTTTGAGAGATTCTTCCCCATTCCAACTACGAAAAAGCCAGACATTGTGTTATGGGAGGAAAAAGACAAAGAGGTACACTTGGTAGAGCTCACGGTGCCCCACGAGGACAATATCTATGCCGCTCATGAGCGGAAAGAAAACCGTTACGAGGCACTCGTCGAACAATGTGAGGAGGCAGGATGGAAGGCAACCCATTTTCCGGTAGAGGTAGGATGCAGAGGTTTTGTAGCAACAAGCGCCCGTAAGTGGATGAGAGTGGCAGGACTTACTGCAAAGAAAAGCAACGAACTCACAAACTCCCTTCAGGAGACAGTAGAGAAAGCCAGTCATTGGATCTGGTTGAAGCGAGAGGACTCAAGCTGGAATGAATCCTAAAGTTGGCAGCAGAGGAAAACAGTCGAACTAACATGGAGACCTCACATCGGTGAGGGGGCTCGGTGCGTCAGAAAAGCTGTAGAGAGGAAGAGCCCGAAACAGCGACGCATTCTCTCCTGATGATCTCCATGCTAGAGTCCGGGATACGGAGCGTTCGACGGTGAGCTGTGCATACAGCTGTTTAGACTACGTTACTATCATCATCATCATCATCATCAACAATAATCAAGAGAGAAATCAGAGACCCACCATGTAGAACTAAGTACCAGCACCTGGAAGATGTGTATTCTGGGTACTCCTATAAGCGGGAACAAAAATCTATCACATGTCGCTGGGACCAGGTTGAGCTCGCGAGACTGCGGTTGGACCATCATTGGAGTTTAAGATGGTATAAGAACTTTGTAAATGAAGAGCTCAGCCCATGTTGCCGAAGATGCGGCCATGAAAAGGAGGATATCAAACATATGTTTGAATGTCAAGGAACAATGGCAATTCGAAAGGAGTTATTTGGACGAGTGGAGGTGCCGCTTAGCATATTGACAATGGAGCCAAAAAAGAGCCTCGCTCTCGCTCGAAGATTTCTTCGTGAAGTCCGTCAGGCCCATTAAGGAAACAAAAACCATCATCATCATCATCATCATCATCATCATCATCATCATCATCATCATCATCATTATTATTATTTTTATTATTATCATTTCCATTGTTATTGGTTATTGCTATAGTAGCTATGTGAGTTTGGGAGTTTAGACTCAAGAGTGTAGTCAAGCAAATGTCGGTGACACGGGGATCAGATGGGTGTTCACTGGGGTGTGTCCTTGAGCAAGACACGACAACCAAAGCTCAAAATACAGGGCGCTGCATAATGGCGACCGACAATGGCATGGTTGTGAAATTGTTTTGTGTTTGTGTAATTTTATACGTATGGATGTATGTGTATATGTGTGTGTGTGTGTGTGTGTGTGTGTGTGTGTGTGTGTGTGTGTGTGTGTTTGTTTGTTTGTTTGTTTGTTTGTGTATACACATGTATGTATGAATTTATAACTATGTATCTATGTATGTTTGCCATTTAAAATCAAATTGCTCTTTTGGGATCAATAAAAACGTAATATATTGTAATTTTATTTCTTGCTTACGTGCAGCAACAAGTTCCTGGGTGAACATCAGAGCCGTGCACTTTCGAGAAAAAAACTGTAAAAGCCGTGCACTTTTTTTTCTTAACGATAAATCGATACAACTAGATTCATCATCATCATTCGGTGCCTTGCTGACTGGCGTGGGCGATCATGGACCTTCACTTCACTCTGTCTTGAGTTGCAGCAATGGTGTCTGTTGTTCTTGCTGCTCCTAGCCATGTTGTCATCTTGTCCAGTATCTTTTCCCTCTGTCTGCCCCTGCCTCTCTTTCCTGTTGTTACAATATTCTCCATTGCTTCTTTCCGAGTTGTGACAATTAGATTGCCGACTACCAAAATAATACCATCCAACTGCAGCAAGCGTTTTACTGGGCTTGGGACTAGATATCAATTAGATTTTGTATTGAATGAATAAGCTTTTCGGGTATAGAAACATATCTATGTACAGGACAGGGGCGATCTTTAAACTGTTCCCGTGGTTTTATGCACCCCGCATAACTGGGGGCTCCAGTGGTTAAGTGAGTAGTGAGTTTTGACTCAAGAAATGTCAAGCAAGTGTCGGTGACACGGGGATCAGATGGGTGGTCATTGGAGTGTGTCCGTGAGC